AGCGTCCCATAGACATTTACATTTGTTGTATATAATTCGGTGTTTGCTTGTATACAACATTTAGTGTATTCGACAGAGCTCCAATAATAATCCATAGATGCTTGTGTTTGTTGTAGTCATTTTGTGTTTTGTTCATGGATAATGTTTTGAACATGTAGCGGGCTTCCTACATGTCTTTCAAACCTTGCTCACGAAGATGTTGTATCATTTGTAGCCTGACATTGTATTTTTTTAGAGATGATTTAGCACTGGGCATTCATATCTCCATTATGCACTTATTAAATCAGAGTTCAATTAATCGCTTGTCAAATCCTTCTACTTATAGGGAGAGAATTGCATTTGCTTGCATGATTGATTGTGGGCGAGTTTGAGGGATTCCACCGTATTCGTGGCATATTCCTAATAACCATCACAAGTCATTCCCCCTACTTGTAGTTCGCATATTGCATGCGTGGAAGATTCCCTATGATGAATCATAAGGACTTCTTTATCTTATTGATGTGTTATATTTTGCTTATATGTGGTATGCCACATATGTTAGTATGCCCTTAAGTGCTAAAGTCATGAGTATATTACCACACACTATCGCTATCATCCATGGATAATTCATTATATACAATGAAGCTCTTTTATTGCTTGGTGTATTTGTTTGCAATGGTTCGAATGTTGTAGATTCATTAATCTTCATTGTCTTCTACTATCATCCACAAATATTCATAAGCTCCCTACGGATTCTTGTAAATGAACCATTGTATGTGTAATAGGTTCACATCCTCATTTATGGGTGCATTATTCTGTCCACCACAAGTCCTTGGCTAATGCTTGTATATGAATGGTTAATCATTACAAGTTTCTCGTTGTCATTTTCAAGAAGGCCATTGTGGGTATTATAAGTCAATCACTCATTAGCATTTTCATCTTTACGCGAGTGTGAATTTATTGAATCAAAGCTTAGTTGCCCGTGGTTCATGCAAGTATGAGTGTTATTACGTTCTGTTCAAATCAAGTCCTTGCCTTTCTCATTTAAAGTTCAAATCAAGTTCATAAGCCAATGTGCAAGCTTGATTCTTCTTGATCTTTTTGATTTGAGTTCATTCTTCCTTAGTTCAAATTCATGTCTAAAGTACAAGTTTCAAGTTCTAGCAATCTTCTTGTTTGAGTTCACTTAGGTCATTTGTTGCAAGTCCAAGTTCTTTCATAGTCCCCTGCTGTTTTGCAAAGTTCAAGTCCTTGCTTGAGTTCAAGTGTCCAAGCTCATGTTCATTTGATTCAAGTTCTAAGTCTCTCTTCAATTCAAATTCTTATAATTTATTTAAGTTTGGATTCATTAAAATTTGAATTTATTCAGGTCCATTGCACCAAGTTTACAAGCCCGAGTCCAATGTTCTTTTGAGTTCAAATCAGGTCCAAGAATGATCGTATATTCACCCGAAATTTTGGTAGCCTCCCGGTGTCTCCCCCATTTAGGAAAAAACTACGAAAAACTGGGCATCCCGCCACTCTAGAGAAAAGCGTGCATGGTAGGTGCCCTCGGACGAGGATACCGCGGTCGTGATTTTGTCCCCCACCACGACAGAGAAAAGCGTGCATGAGTTTTCAAGCACCAGTTTAAAGTAAGCAATTTTATATTTGACCCCGCCTTGTAATAGGCATCGCACCAGGTTTCCTTCTCATTACACTAGAGATAAGCATGCATGAGTTAATTTTTCGGTGCGTTGCTAACGTCGAAAATGGAGCTTTGTGGTTACCTGCCCCATCGCAAGCATCTCAACGAATTCACTCCTACCACGCTAGAGAAAAGTGTGCATAGGTGGTCGTCAATCACGTTACAAGTGTCAAGAATGGGTTTTTCGAAGTTTTAGGGTTTAGGAATTATACCTGTGTGGGTTCGTTAACATGTGGATCGAGGGAAGGGAGAGAAGCACATTTTCTCCTTTTTTTAATCAATTAATTAATTAAACTTATATATAATTAATGATAATTAATTATAATTTAAAAATAATTAATTATAATTACAATAATTAATTATATTTAGTCATAATTAATAATAATTAATTTAAATTAAAATAATTAATTATAATTAATTTTAATCATATTATAGTTAATTATTAATTAAAATAATTAACTATAATTATTAACAAAATTAATTATAACTTATTTTAATTAAAACTAAGGAGGAGGGGCTTCGACATTGGAGTTGAGAGGAAGAGTCATGTGGGAGCAGAGAAGATCGGGAGAGCAGGGACGAGAGCTTAAGGACTTTGTTCTTGTGGAGTGCGAATGGAGGAAGTAGCCATTGAGTTGTGACCTCCCTCCCTTTTTAATGACGCCAAGAGGAGCGAAATCGAGGCCATCATCGCAGGTTTTATGCAGAGATTCTGGGAAATGACGCAAACGGCGCCGTTTCAGCAGGATACATTGCGGGATTTCTGGATTTTTAGCGAGTTTTAGGCTGGATTTTGGCTCTGTATCCAGTGGCAACAAATTCCCCCCAACAAATGTGATACGTGTCTAGAGCGAATCACGTTTGTTGTATGTTGATTGACCCTATGGATATCTAGATATTCGTTCTAGGTGTCATACTAGTGATTCCATGTAGTGGATCTCCAAGAGTTTGCTTGGATGCCACACTAAAGTTTTTCATTTAGTGGATCTCCAAAACTATTTTGGATGTCACACTGCTCTCTTTTAGTGGATTTTCAAAAATTTACATGGATGTCACACTAAATTTTTTATTTTGTAGATCTCTAAGAATCCATCTGTGTATCTTTATGGATCTTTAGATGCATCTATAGATGGTTGATACATTTGCTCCTGATCAAATAGAGATACACGGGGTAGAGATAATGTACTTCATGCTTAGATCCCTAGAGTATCACTCTGTAGATTAATGCTAGTGGATAGTATTGCCACTATTTGTTCTCTTTAATTACCACGATCACTTTACTTTATAGCCTTTATGTATATGCTCAATATTGTTATATCATCTTGTTGTATCTTGGCAAAATTTTAAATATTTATTTGAGGATCTCGGCATGCGGCACGATGTTGATCCAAATAAATATTTAAAATGCCCCCAGTCTTTAGGGACATTTGTAGGTATCACCAGGGTGCTCATTCCACATCTTTGACTTGGGCCCTGAGATTTTGATTCCTTCTGCCCTGTGCTTTGTGATGCGGTCATTGATGGTGAATTACCTGATTTATCAATAGTGACTTGTCAGGAGATTTTTATTCCTTCGGTCCTATGCTTCTTGCTTTAGCAGACTTTAAGAAGGAGTAGATGTCGATGACCTAAACCCTTAGGTTTATATTCGGTCAATGGCGAAGAGTCATCGGTCCAGAGCTTTGTGCATGACGGACTTGTTGACTACATAATCCTCTTAGTTCAGCCTAAGGCTTTGTGTGAACTTTGGGATAGTTTTCTTCGATCCTTTGCTTTGTGCTTTGGCAGACTTGTTGAAGAAAAATTCCTTCCATACTCGCTTTGTGCTTCACGGATTTGTTGAAGGATTTATGTCAATAACAAACTTATGTTCGACTGCTTGAGTAAAGTTTGAATTAGGTATGACTTGAATTCGACTCGACTCGTTTGCAGCCCTGTTCTCAAATAATTAGACGTTATAAAGAAATTTAGAGAATCAATTGGTGTGTTATTGGATCGAATTATTGATTTAATCAGTCATTTAAAAAGAAAAAAAATGTTAATCTACAAATGCAATAATGAAATAATAGCAAAATGGTGTTTTTTTTAAAGAATTTGTTAATGGTAAATTTACAAGGAGAAACATTTAGGATTGAGAGTTGAAAATCTTTTCATTTGTTAATATTAAATCTATTAAGAAATTGTAATGAAGTTTTCATTTGGATGTGTTTTAACTGAGTTCTTAAGCTTATATAAATGAATTAAGATTTTAACGTTAACAGACGAACAATAAATATTAACAAGCTTTAAAATGTTTTAATATATTCAATAAATTAATTATATTAATTATTAATTTTTGTTGTAATTGAGATATATGTAAGTTATTAGTCATTAATAAACTGGCAAAAAACTTATAAGGCTTTGTTTGGAACGGATTTCTTAATGATTTTAAAAACAATTTTATAGTGTAAGAATTTCTTCAACTAGAATTTTTTTACTAAAAATTTTCTTTTAAAAATATGAAAAGAACGTATCAAACGAAACCTTAATCTTTTCATTTTAATTTAACTATTGTAGAGCAACAATCATAATGCAGGATAGAAACTATTGTGCAATAAGAGTAGTTTTCCTTTTTTTTTATCCCATCAAATTAATGAGTTCAAATTGTAACTATTGGTTCAATGACAATAAATTTTTTAGATGAGAGCCGTTGCTTCAACTTCCACTTCCACTTCTAGATAAGGAACAATTATTACGTCCTCCGACCGGACGTAGAGGAACGTCCGGTCGGAGGCCAAATCGCGCCAAAAAATGAGAAATACCGAGCAAATACTGAGCAATACCAAACAATAACGATGAATACCATCACGTGAAGACCAAATACCGAGTTATATTATACCGAGCAATACCGAGTTATACAAAAATTGTACCGAGTTTTTCCTATAAAAAACTCGGTACAATTCGGTATTGCTCGGTATAGTTCGGTATAACTCGGTATTGGTCTTCACAGAGCGGTATTCCTCGTTATTATCAAATAATACCTAGCAATACCGAGCAAATACCGAGTTTTTTGGTCGGATTTTACCTCCGACCGGACGTTCCTCTACGTCCTTACACCGGACCTAATAAAAGTTCCTAGATAAGAAGTTAGCATGTGTCTAAAAAGATAAATAAATCAATAAACAAAATTAATATGAAGGTTGATGAAAGTGCCAAAAAAAGTCATAGATTAAAGATGACTGATCATTAAAATTTTATTTTGTTTTTGCTAACACAAAAACATAAAATCAAAATTAAATAATAATTCAATAATTGTTTAAATCAATAAGAAATTAAACAGTACTATTTAGATTTCAGCAAGAAAAAATATTTATATATAAAAGAACCACCAATTAATACATAAATAAAATTGAGTGCATAGATCAAATGATACAAACAGCTATTTCATGCTGAAATATTATGCATTCTTCTTCACATTTCATATATATCAAACAAATAAGATAAGATAAGAAAAAGAAGTTTGCAGCTTAGGTATTTTGAAAATTTCAGGGATTAATATGGATACTCGGAATGTGAGCAATCTTGTGGCGATCGGAGCCTCCATCCTCTCGATAGCGCTCCTCTAACTCTGGATGACAATCCCCAATTATTATTAGACGTTGCAAAGAGGGAGGAAGGTTCGGCAATGCCCGAAGCATCGGAACATCGTTAATATATAGTTTCCGAAGTGAAGATAAGCTTTCCAAGGAGGAAGGGAGAGACTGTACAAATTTGAGCCTTCTAAATTCCAGCCGATAAAGAGAAGACCTAACTTTCAGAAACCACTGCTCCGCCTCATTTGGAAATGAAAGCAGCTCATCATTCTCCTCAATTCTCAGATTTTTGAAGGAGGCGATACTTCTCAATGGCTCCATCAGCAACACCGATGGATCGCTTATACTGAGATTGCTGAGTATGAGATGGAAATTATTAGTGGTCTCCACTTCTCCGAGAGAGATCAGATTGGGGCACTTTGTAATTGTCAAGGATCTTAAAGCTGCAAGTCTTGCTATTTCATCAGCCAGAGGAAGACATGTAATGTTTGGACAGTCAGAGATCGCTAATGATTCAAGAGGAATAGGATTTGAATTGCTACAAAAATTCAAAGTCTTCCACTCCATAAATTCTATCCTCAAGCTCTTGAGCTTAGAAGGCAAATAGGGACACTCTTTCAACTTCGGGCAGTTACTTAGCACCAATTCAATCAAGCAAGGAAACAAACATCCATCTTCAGCAGCTACTCCTGCCTCAAACCAATCCTCTAATGCTTCTAATTTCTTAATACGTAAAACCTGTAGCAATGGAAAGGCACGGTATTTTTCATTCCCATTAAATTTACTTTCCAGTCATTTTACTTTCGGCATGTCATAAAGTTTTAGATGCTTGAGGAAGGGAAGTTGCCCAAAAGGTGGAAGAGTTTCACACTCCAAGCAAACTGTCAATTTGATTTTCTCTAGATTGAAGATCGGATTGACATTGTTCATCCATATAGCAGACCTTGCACCCATGTAATTTCTTATACAAAAATTCCTTAGACATTTTGGTGGCTGAAGGTTGTCGAGCACGGTCTCATCTAAATCGATGTTCCTCGAATCAGTGTTACTCCAACATAAGGTTAACTCTGTGAGCCTCCTCTTGGCACATAATTTGGCAATACAAGCCTCCTCAACATCCTTAATATTGTCAAGGGAATTGATTCCTAATTTGCAAAGTTCATTCATATTCTCCAACTCCCCAATTCTATAACCACTCACATCTCTAAGATCAAACATATTCAATTCTTGAAGAGACTTTAGCTTCCCAATCCCACGTATCGATGAAATACAATTCCCGGGCAATTCCACATAATGCAAGTTAGAAAGGTTATTAATTTCACTTGGTAAAAAATAATCACCTTCCCATGTGCCATCATAGATTAGGTATTGCAAGTGATAGAGATTACTTAGAGATCTTGGCATCATAGTCAAATTATAACCATCAATCATTAAGTATCGAAGATGTATCAAATTTCCAATATGCTCAAGTATGATTTCTAAGTTTGCTGAAGCATGTATGTATAATAAGCGTAGGCTTCTTGATGCTTTGAAGTTTTCAATAAGTGCATTGCAAAGATCCTGATTAGAAGCTTCATAGATCAAGAACATAGAATGCAAATATTTAAACTGTCCAATCTTTTTTATGATGTCTGGATTTGTAGTTTTAACAAACAAGTGTCGAAGAGTCTTTGGAATTATAGAAGGCAACTTTGTACCATCCTCAACTCTTAAACATTCATTTACGGAAACTGATTGTGCCAATTCATGTATTAAATCATGCATCTTGTAGTATCGTCCATCTTCAAACTTATCAAAGAAAGAATTTTTAACCAAATCATCAAAATACCTTCCTCCAATATCCTCCATAGTCCATTCTTGATCATGAGGTTGCTGAATGAAACCCAATGAAATCCACATTCGGACTAAATCATCTTTATCAAATCTATAATTTTGTCCAAATATAGAACAAAATGCGAAACAATACTGTAGATGTTTAGGGAGGAGCATATAGCTCAATCTTAAAATGAGAAAGATGTCATCCTGACCTGATTTTGGACTTACAAAATCACTATTTAAAACTTTTGTCCAATGTCTTTCATCCAAGCTAGAATTCAAAACACCACCGATGACCTTTGCTGCCAAAGGAGATCCTGAAAGCTTTTTAACTATCTCTCCAGCAATGAATATTAATCTTTTATAATCATTAGGATTCTCTACATCAGCAAATGCATGAGACTTGAGGAGCTTCAAACATTGATCTTCCTCCAAGCCCTGTAATTGAAATGTTTCCTTCTCCTTTTTAATCACCTTTGCAATCATAGTTGCAACTGAGTCCATTCGAGTGGTTACCAAAATCCCACTACCAATTTTCCCATAAGCCAGAGGGGCGAGCACCTTCTCCCATTTGCTGATATCCCGGTTCTCCTCCTCCTCCCAAATGTCATCCAGAAGAAGTAAAAACTTCTTGGACATAATCTCAGTCCTAAGACTATTTTGAAGTGTATCAAGTGTGTCGTCCAAACGAGGCCTCTTCTTCTTAAGAGTTGATAACATATCTGCAATGACTTTTTTCACATCAAAGTTGTTTGAAACGCAAACCCACATTTTAAGATCAAATTCCTTTGTCATTTCATCTTCATAGACATGTTGCAAGAGAGTTGTCTTTCCCATACCACCATGGCCCACTATTGATAGAAGAGAAATGTTTCTGTCCTGATGCTCATTTGATAGCTTCTTCAACCACTGCGTAACAAACTCCTTAGCCTCGCCTCTACCGATGAGATCATTTGTAGTAGGCAAGGATCCTGTTTCACGTTCTTTGTAGAAATCAACCTCCTGCTTCGTCTGTTCCTGCCTCGTGCTGTGTAAAAGAAGAATGAAAGGAGTAACATCAGCCGAAACTTTATCAAGTTTCTGCACAGCCTTCTCCAGTCGCTTCAAGTTGGGATCCCTTTTGAGAGCAAGTTTGCCAAGTTTGGCAAGTTTTTTCTGTTAGGATTTAACGGAGACGAAAATAACAAATCGATCGTCTCCGAAAGACATGCTAAATCATCGAGAAGAAGTTTTCGGAAGCGTACCTGAATCCATTGAAATACAAAATCAAGGTCTTTCGATCTTCCACGTTTAGAGCGGCGTTCTCCAAGAGAGCGAGAGACCCCTTCTTTTCACTCAAGATGGGAAATGAGGGAAATGAGAACTTAACCGCTTAAACTGGGGACCATGACCCTTATATACTTTAAGTGTAAATATTTTATTTCAGCCCATCATAAAAATAAAATAAATACCCGGCCTCTACACAAATTTAATTCCATACAAAATTTAAATGAGATGCCACATAAGCCAAATAATAATTTAATACTCAAATAGATCACAAATTTAATTGGCTTAATTTTAGATAGCTTTATAATGTATAAACCATATTTATATGTATAAAAATATGGGCCCACTTATAGAAATTCCCAACAATCTCCCACTTGGGCCACATATATATATACATATAATTATACATTCTGAAATAACTGTAAGAGCTCAATTTCGCTATCTTTCTAAAATAACATCTCTAGACAATCTGGTCCATCAATCATATCAATATAGAATTAAAGCGACCTTTGTTACATTCTTCGTAACAAGACCCATCAATGGTCACTATATTAATATAATTAACGACATAGATCAAGTATGGATGTGTAGCATGAAAATTTCATGTAATGTGATCTCAAATCATGACAATTTTCAACTGGTCCAATTTTATAACTCAAAAGAGTTATAACCAAAATTCAATACTTTATGCTAAACTGCAATTGAAATCAAATAACT